ATTATAAAAACTCATGTGAGACCCCAAATGGGCTTCTCCTGATAAAGAAAGAAAATTAATTAAACCTAAAACTTGTGTATTTTGGAAAATACGACTGGGCCAAGTTATGCCTATATTTTTGGAAGCCTACCAAAACCCGTCTAGACCGCTTGTGGAGGACATTAGTTTTCTGGTTCGGAAATGTTTGAGATTAAACCGGTTTGACTGATAATCAGTCAGTCCGATTTGGGTAAATTGATGGTTTAGCGATTTTGATATGCTGGCTTGTTTTGCCGCTCTGGTTCGCCGGTTTGGTCTCTTCTTCTTCTACCCCTCTGCTTTGTTTGGTTTGCGATCTTCGGTTGTCTGCTCTATTTCAGGGGAATCTCTCAACCGATGTAAGTTGTGCTCATTCCTTCATTCTCTCTCTCAGTTTAGTTTTGTTCCCGTCGCTTTTTTAGTTTTTAGGGATTTCGTATCATTTACGATGATGCCTTTGGTAGTTTTCTTATGAATCTGGGAGATTTTAGGCTTGAGTTTTAGCTAATACTACAAGAAATCCAAACAAATTTCATTTAAGGAACTGGGTTTATTGGAAAGTAAGAAACTTTGGCTTAATATGATAATGAATTTTGTTATAATTAAATTTCCAGATTTTAGGATTTCATGGGAATTGATGATTACTCTATACTCAGATAACGACTTTAACTCAGCTTCTTACTTTACTGAATTCAGATCCTCTCAATCACTATATTATCTCTGCTACCGGCATAAGGAGTTACATGATGCTACTTGGACTGTTACAGAGACTGCTTGAATGAAACATTGAGAATTTTGGGGGTCTTGAGAATGAAGTTTTGGGGAGGCTTTTTAGTGATCGTTGGTTCCATTTCCTTCATTGAATTTGTGTTTGTAGCTATAGTCTCCAAATTGTTTCCACTCTCTGACAATCCCATTATCCAAGCTATTCAGAATGACAGGTACACTCTTGTTCCGGGCTAATGTTTGTTTGTGTATCATTCTTGTTATATTGATATCCATCGTCTTGAAATCTGTTACGTGTATGTCATCTCATGATTCATATTTCATATAAAAACATTCTTCAGGTACTACTGCTTCTTGGCTCCACTGACTCTACCAGCTCTTCTGGTTGCTGTCTACTTTCATTGGCTTAGTATGAAGCTCTTCAAGCACGCATGATACATCTCACGTAGCAACGTATTTTTTTATTGTGTTTTTAAATATTAATGATGATGTGATAGTAGTTTACATTATAAGAGCATTAGATCAAATATTTCTATTGATAATGTAACAAAATAACAAATTTTTTTTTTTTTTTTTTTTTTTTTGCGGGGTTGAATATTAGTTTAGCTTACCTTGTAATTGCCGCAGATTTTGTATGTAGCTTGCACTAGAGATCAATATCTTTTGTTCATACTTGATGAAGTTGTCTTCATGGGGATACTCTCCTCGTATCTATGAGAAGATATTCTCACGCAGCCAATTGATGCGTCCTATCGAGACATTCCATCCTTGGCTCCGAGGATGCCTTCCAGCTTACATGTTTTAACACGAGACCAGTGTCTCGAGATTCATGTGAAGCTCCTCACTGGTTCTTCTTCGATTCATTTGAACAAGAGAATGAAAAAGTTGTTACTTCTTACACAAGGAAGTTTCCTAGAAACATTGACTTCTTGTTCCCGGCCTATCCGGTAATATATCTGCGGATACTCTCGCATGGATCCGAGTCTTCTCTCCCAAAACTCCCAAACAGGTTAGATTATTTTATTATCTCATAGATATCTCAAAACGAGTTACGACTAGTATTCAAGTTTCCCAAAAAGTATGATTTGTTCTCATATTCACATTAGGGTTTAAAATCTAATCATTATTTTTTTTTGTAGAAAGGGATGTTTTTTAGTCATAAAATATAATGATTTTGCTATATTTGAGAATTCTTAGTGTCTTTAGCAGAACTGTTATCATTGATTTTTATTTCATTACTAAAAATTTCAATTAATTGTGTTTTATTGTTCTTAGGGGATCGAGAAAAGTGGAATGTTGCGACGTGTAATATGAAGGTGCAGAAGTTGCAAACATAAGATAAGACTTAGAGATTGCAGGAGAGACGAATTCATCGCCTAATGAAATTTGGAGAGCAGCAATGTTTAGTTAATGTTGTAATTTTCATTCTTCTATATAATTAAGTTACAAGTTGTACGTTACCTTCTGAAAAAGTTATAATTACTAAGGATCTTGATGATTATTCAAGAAATAAAAAAATGATTATATAAAGCAAAACATAGTGAGCCTTTATTTTGTTTCTTCTTGGTAACGTTTGAAAGTGAAAGAAACAAGAAAGTGTGTTATCTCATATCTGAGTGAGATGGTTCAAGATTGATGTAGAAAGTTCATAAATGTATGGTAATATTGTAAATGAAATGGTTTACATGCAGTTATGCATAGAAGCAGCATGAAAATTGTTTCATCATCCCATATTTTGGCTTCTTTTTTTTTTCTTTTATCTTCTTTTTCTAAAACGAGAAAGTTTCAGTGCTTTAAAATTAATGATGATCACCTGCTAGCTTTAACATCCAAATCACATGATTTATGCACATCAGCCCTCATGATCAACATTCCCCTCTCTTTTTTTTTTTTTTCCCCTCTACATTAGTAACTTACTATTTTTCTATATGTATGGAGTCGTCAGACACATTTTCTACCAATTCATTTAGTGAAATTTGATTCTCTCAATGGCATTTAAGAACAGTAGCAACACCAAACCAACCAAATTGAGTCACATCTTTCAAAACCTATCATTATCTACCTTATGGAAATCCTTAACAGTTTCCGGTGCTCTACTTTTCTTGCTACACACATTTGCATTCAACAATCCTCATAAAATGATGACCCATAAACTCTTTGCGCCTCTTGACCTTACTTTCTCCTCCTCTTCATCATCTTCCTCGTCTTCAGTATCATTGTCCTTGCAAATTACAAGAGAGTCTCCTACAAATATCAGCCATCTATTTTTTGTCATTGTTGGTAGTACAAAGACTTGGAGATATAGGAGAGGCTACATAGAGCCTTGGTGGAGACCAAACATCACAAAAGGATATGTTTTCCTCGAAAGACCACCTGGCCGTGATCTCTTGCCTTGGCCTAACCAATCTCCTCCCTTTTCTGTCAACAAAGAATCATTCATCACAAACAAATTCAAGACTCAGATCCGCCTTTTTTATTCGCTTCTTGAGTCTTTTAAGAAGGCTTCCAAAGAGACAAGATGGTTTGTGATAGCAGATGATGATACTCTCTTCTTCTTGGACAATTTGGTCAAAGCTCTTGACAGGTATGACCACAAGAAGCACTATTACATCGGAATGAACTCGGAAAACGTTTGGTCCAACGCGATTTTCGCTTTCGACATGGGATATGGAGGCGGCGGATACGCATTGAGCTATCCAACCGTAGTAACACTTCTCAGCAACATGGAAGAATGTATCAAAAGATACCTTGGAGTTTACAGCGATCTTCTCTCATTTCGTTGCTTGGCCGACTTGGGAATTGATCTTACTTTAGAGAAAGGAATGCACCAGGTAGGGTTGTTCAATCCAAATTTTTCAAAAATTTTAGTATTTTACAAGTTTTTGGTATTTAAATTAATAGTAACCAAATATATAATATGGATAGGTTTAGTGTGAACAAGAAAGTGGTTCCTTTTTTTTTCAAGAAGGAAAGTGATTCTTGCGTCTCACTACTATCATACTCTCACTCTGTCTTCCTTGTGGTGTATATTACCAGATTGATCTACACGGTGACATATCAGGTCTCTTATCAGCTCATCCACAGTCTCCTCTTATCAGCCTTCACCATTTCGATGTCATAGACCCGATTTTTCCAGGCATGACCCGCCAGCAATCCGTGAACCACCTCATGAAAACGGATCAGTCCCGTGTCTTGCAACAAACAATATGTCATTAAGGCGTTTATAAATCGTCTCATTAAAGCTAATTCAATCGCCTATAACAGAAATTCAGTCGTGCACGTATGAATTTTAGCTTCTGTCTTCATCACGAGAGCGTAATGCCACTTTTGCTCAAGAGTTGTCCAAATCTACACACTTTAGTCCTCAAGGTATTATTATCAGTTTCTTTTACTGAGACTCCTTTTTGTTTGTTGTTAGTGTTTCCGAATATTATACATGTCAAATTGGTCTCCGGTTTCAGGGTCTTGTGCACAGAGTAACAAATCGATGTGGAGATGCATGCCCTTGCATCCTTGAGAAACAGAGGAAGATTGTCAAGGAGGAAGAGGAATTATGTTGTTTATGGACATGTCAAGTGAAGATTCTAGAGATTTCAGAGTATGGAGGTTCTTTTCAAGAGCTGGATCAGATGAGACATTTCTTGGGAAAGTTGGAATGTCTTGAAACTGTGAAAGTTAGTGTTGTGGACGCAGACAACAATAGCAAGCTCTTGCGAACTAATCTGTTGTCTCTCCCCAGACTTTCATCAGAATGCAACATCCAATTCATCTGACATTTTCTTTCTTTTATCTTTCTCGGTTTGTTGGCAATGTGAAAGTAACTTAACATGAATGAATATGAGATTATTATATCAGTAAAGTTGGTTACAATCTCTATTTTTAAAGATAGATAATACTAAGTACTAGGGGAGGTCCCCGCGCCCAGCGCGGGGTTGTATGTTGATTAAGACCAGAATTAATAATTAATATTTAGGGTTATCAAGTTAGGGATATTTATTGAATTAATTTTGTCAAGAGTCTAATTTTTATAACGACATTAATATAGAATTATGGTAAAACGCTATAACTTTTGATATATATTATTAGTAATCAACAATTAATAGTGTTTTTGAATCACAAACAATTATTAGTGTTTATATCTTGATATATATAATAGAATTAAATATAAAAAATCTATATATTTAAACCAACAATATATTAGCAACGCCCCGACCGCCACTGTCCATGGGTTCCCACGTCCAGTCTCGGTCTTTAGGCCCATCTTCTTTGTTTTGTCGTACTCTTGATTTTATGACATATTCATGCTTACTCGTTTCTTTCATATTAGCAACGCCCCGACCGCCACTGTCCGTGGGCTCCCCACGTCCAGTTTCGGTCTTTAGGCCCATCTTCTTTGTTTTGTCGTACTCTTGATTTTATGACATATTCATGCTTACTCGTTTCTTTCATATTTGTAATGCCACGACCGCCACTGTCTGTGGGTTCCCACGTCCAGTTTCGTTCATTGAGCACATCTTCTTGGTTTTGTAGTACTCTT